GAAGATTTATGTAACACTATTCTATAAAAATTACTTAAATTACGAATACGTTGCATAAACCTTATCAAAAAATAGTTATTCCAAATGTATCAATTGAAAAATGTATTACGTATGTCTTTCATACTAATAAAGAACTTATGTATAGCTTATAAAAGTATTTTATCCTACTATTTTATGAATTATTTAATTCAACTAAATGGGTGAATAAAATTTAAATGTAATTAGTTTCATACCGCGATGAATCGCAGGCAAAACAACTAGTGCTCATAAAGCTCCAACATATATATAGGTTTAGATGAAAGGTTAAACCTAATTCATTGTTATCTATTTAATAATTGTATTAAACATTGTCGAAGCTTATAAATAAATAAGTAATTTGATTAGTAATTAAACTTGGTGTTGAATTAGCGATTTAAGTTTCTATACACAATTCCCTTCATAACAAACATCTTGCACTTATAATTTTCCTATTGAAACTCAAGTCGTAGTTACTACAAATAAAAAATCTGAATAGCTAAATATCACCTTAACTTTACTATTATCGCCCTAACTTAAAATATAAAATTACTAAATTAACCTGAATCAAACCGAAAGCAACAACACAAACAGCCCCTAAAACCCTAATCCTCCATCTTCTTTCAACAAGAACGACGTCCCTTCAAAATCTTCTCCACCACCCAGAACGTGCAATCCAACTTTAGCAAGCATCCCCTGTTTGGGAGCAATATATATACACTTAGACGTCTGAAAGGGGGAAATAGCTAAGCGGCATCCGGCCGGCTTGGAAATTCAGAGCGACTTGTTTGTCCCGAGTAGCGATGGTAGCAGCCTGTTAAGGCTTGTGGGCTTGCGTCGAGAAATGACAGATGCAACTATGACGAAGTCGACTAGCGTTGAGAAGTAATGAATTGGTGAGTGGTATCTCGATCAGTCTGCGGGAGCCTATGTGGGCATGTGGCTACGGAGGCTTGATGAGCGACATGTCTACAAGCGGAAGCGGGTGCTCGATGCGGTTACCTATGTGGTTACGGAGGCTTCATGAACGACATGTCTACAATTGAAGATATAGAGCGAGAATTAGCGATCTCAAAAAAATTAGTTACTAATTTTTTCGAAAACCTCATACCAACCTAAATTTTTGTAACGATTTGGACTAAGCACTGGGCTTTGTAATTGGGCCCAATCATACTAATAAAGTAAGGCCAATTCTACAGTGCCGCGGAAGAAAGTGCGGCACGGGTGCCGCCACTTTCTATTGGACCACGTGGCAACCTAGTGGTAGTCGATTATTTGTTTAAATCAGCCCAAACCCAATAAAACCCCAAGGCCAAAACCGGCTCATTCCCTTGCAACCGAGCAAAAAATCATTATTGTTTTTTTTTTGTTCCCTCTCTCAACATTTTATTCCTTTTGTTTCGCAGAAACTTTTCTTCCCAATTTTTAATGTAATAAATTATTTTGATTATAGTTAGTATTTACTTATTTTAATATACATATTTTATATAATACACATATTTGTTTTCATACTAATACTAAATCTTTTCATTTTCGGTTAATTTGTTTGCTCATGTACTAAACATGTATAAAATTCATATAGCACGTTTAATATTTATATTCAATATATTAAATTGATGATCGTAAAAGCGTATTCAAGTGACTAGTCTGCATTCTTTGGACTTTTCTTTTTCATAGCAGGATTTAAGCTTAGTTTGCTAGCGAGAACGAAGTGATGGTTATGCACGATATTGACTAAAAATATTTTATCCAATTCGCTTGCGTTGATCTTTAAAATTTATTTATTTTTAATATAACCAATTTCATATGTTCTAATACTATTTACATACTATTAGAGGTATAATTAGTTTATGAATGAAATAAAATATTCGTACGCACTTGATACGTAAGTTACTCCTACCATATTTTATTAGCTATGATTTTGACTTTGCCCATGAAAAAAGCAAAACCCAAAAAAAATCTTATCGCATTCCTCGCCCTAAATCTTCATCATTATAGCAACCAAATTAAATGTTTCAACGAACTTTTCAGTCGCCTATCCAAACTTTTATAAAATTTGTTAGATTCAATAGAGGAATCCACCATCCACTATGAGGAGTGGTGGAGCCAAAATTTGTAAGAACTTGTGTCCTCTTTTCATAATGTAGATATATAAATAAATAATTATTTAATAAATATAATTAAAATCAATAATATCCAAATAATCCATTCATAGATAATAAAAATATTAGGTTGCCACGTGGCCCAATGGAAATTAGCGGCACCGGTGCCGCATTTTCTATCGCGGCACCATAGTATTGGTCGTAAAGTAATAATTGCCGGCAAAGTGAAAAGAAACCGGCCCACTTTTGGGCGGATTATGGAAACTAAAATGATCATATGGTACCATAGTGGTATGAACATACTAAGATTGTAGGATGGTTGAATACATAATAGTAGAAATATACTAACTGTAATTTACGACTTTCAACATTGTGTACCACAAGATACCACCCCGTACTAGGGTGGTAATTTTTTGTCTTGTATTTTGTTCACCCGGTAATTTGTAGATGCAATAGATCATGATGACCTCGTTCCTTCTATGCAAAAATTTTCAAAAATGACTTAAAAAAGAAGAAGATACCATATGCAAATGGATCTCATTTTGTAGAGTACAACGAATTAGTTCTATCTGTGCAAAAAAAAAAAATTTGAAATTCGAGTCAAAACGAAGAAGATATGAGCCGATTAAGAAAACTAGGGAAAATAAAAATGCCTTTAATTTTTCACTCTTAGATCTGGATTTTCTGGGCAAACTGAAAAAGAAACATCCATATTTAGTTACTTATGGGGGTGCATAACTCATGGTTATACACCTGGAGCCCAAAATATGAGTATTATTAACCAAACAACATGTGATCCGACACAATTTTTGGTAAACCACAAACCACACTTCCATCACTACTCTAGGAGGATTCAAAAGCAATCTTTTGCCACATAAGCACTTGGATAACCACAATTTGCCAAGTTGGACAACTCTTTTACAAGCAAAAAAATTAGTTATTAATGTATTTATGGAGCTTCCTCGCTCTTCTTTAATATTTCCATTTCTTTTATCCAATTATTATTGTTCATTTATCCAATTATTCTTTTTTTGCTTTGATAATAAGTTATATGTTCACAAACTTAACCTAACACACATAAATAACAATTTTTTGCCAAGTAACAAAATATAAATAAGAAAACAGAGAGTGACATATATCACATTTTTTAAATAAAAATTATCTGATTAAAACTTATGAAGTAAAGTTTCTACTCATTTTTACTAAAATTGAATGATAAGTTACATTTTGATGAAAAAATTAAACAAACATACGGATAAACAATAATATTTGTATCGATTAAACAAATTATATATGAAAAGAGAGAGAAAAAAAGTTGACATTCAATTACCTTTAAAAAATAAACTATATTACTTTATATTTTGTTGCAATGAAACACTCGCTTATTCGTAAAGTATATGTCTATAAAATAAAACAATATTATTTAGCAAAATGTGAGAGTATAATTTTGATCGAGTAGTTACCATTATTTATTAAAAAAAGACTTCTTATTCATTCAGATCATGTTCTACCTTAAACTCCTCAAATGAAGAGGAATCGCATGTGCAATAATTTTATAATGTGTCCTATGTTCACATTAATAATAGTTGCTCTATATCATGTTGATTGATCTATTTAAGAAGCTATTTCTCTCTTCATTTAATATTTTTTTTCTTTTATCCAATAATTCTTCTTTTTTTGTGCTTTTGCAATAAATCTCATACCTTAATATCAATTTAATTATAAACAAACATCAACGGTCATGATTCGTCAAAATATATGCAACAAATTACATGCACAATCTTAATTAGGGTATAGTATCATCCCCACAAATCCGGTTGATTCGTGGTCTAGATAGCGTTTTCTAACTTAGAGTATAATATCATGCTTAGATATTGACAATAGATGTGACAATACACCAACAAAATGAAGATATTAGTATAAGTAATGGAATTTTATCCCAAAATAAACACCAAAGATAAATAAATTTTAGTAAATGCATATTTGATAAGATAGAAAATTATACACCAATAGACCATGTTAAGATTAGAACCCTCTACAGTGTGTGAGTATCTTGGACTGAGATTCTAAACCAACATCTAAACAACGACCATGAGTTGAGGGTGTGCCTAAATTAAACTTCAGGAATTAACAATTGGTACATATTGTATAAGATATTAAATTGGGTGTCTTGATCGACAAATATGATGTTACACTAAGACAGTAAAATTTCAATTGGGATGACCAAATTTATATAATATTGAAGTACCTTTATAAGAAAATTCTAACTAAGTTGTCGTCATCTGAGCAACATCATTGGTTGAGAGTTCGTCCAAACTCGAGATTCATTGAATGACTTATTTTGTATAAGATAAAAAAAAATGTGAGCATCGTGGTTGACAAATCTCGACATAAGATTCTATATGGGACGTGATATATTTTTGTGACATGCTTAATGATCAGAGAATCGAAGCATCATAAGTGAATGTGCTAAGTATTGAGAATTTTTAATTTATAGACGCACCGCATACTCACGTATAAATACAAATGTAAAAAATTTAGAAGATCCAAAATAGTTTAAATATATAGATAAATTGATTAATATAAATGATAAAATAAAATTCACCAGCTAACGGGCCGGGTAAAAAGCTAGTCACGGGCCCGGCCAGTTGGCCGGATTCAGTTGTCAATCAATCAAACAACAGTAGAAATATGTATTTGAGTTACGTATTAGTATAATAAAATTTAAATTCTTCAAATATTTTAAGCATTCAAATCTATTGGGAGAATAAGAGAATCTAAATTATTAAAATAGTTCAACAATTCAAAAGAATGCACATTGTATTGTTCTCCGATATATTTATGACTAATCGACTAAAATCGTTTTTCTAAAATGAGAGAAAGCTCCCATGCGAGGGAACTGATTGCTAAATAGCAATTGAAATGACCCTTCTAATTACTCCTCATCATTAGAGATTAGTGAATGTTTTCTGTTTGGATTGTTTGCATTTCATCCCGCATGATCAACAACCTCATCGTCACCATTAATAATATCTTCATATCCATTAGCGACACATTTATCTGCAATATCAATTGACTCTTCTTCTTCTCTAGGATTTTAGTTATCTCTTCCTTCTTTTCCTGCATTTCATTGAGCACAACTATTTGATGTTAAAATATAATTACAAATACAAATCATCTTTTTCATTGGAATAGAATTTACCTCGTCCAAGTTACGAACATTATTTAGAATTTGTTCTTTCTCCCCATCACCAGTGTTTATACCGTCCTTATGAATAATGTCTTTCTTCTTCTCGACATAACCAACATCTCCTCCATCATTAGCAGTTTCATTCTTGTTATCCTGCATCGACATTATGAATTTAGATATTTGAAACTAAAAAGTATGACACATGATGTTGTTTTATCGGATCATGATTGGTCAATATATATTATAGATAAATTTGTAGCCATAAAATATCATATCCTTCATATTTTCAAGCAGGCGGTGAAAGAGAAAAAAAGCAGTTATCCACCTTTGCAGCAAGCTCAGTATGACAGTTAAATAACTAAATCCCAATTCTATTAATTAAACCCACAACTCCCTTCATCTAAGCCAATTCTATTAATTAAACTCACAACTCCATTCATCCAGGCCAATTCTATTAATTAAACCCAAAACTCCCTTCATTCGGCAGTTGCATGACTTGTGGACTCCTACAAAGATATTGAGTAGACGGTTGTTGTATCAGACTCTACTTTATCTTTCGTAGCATGCATTCCCATCCGTGTCGCAACCGATTCGGTAAGCTACGTGTCTGGTGCACAGAGAACTGCCTCCGGTACCCAAAACTTACTTACTATCACTAAAGATTACATAATATAAAGTATGATATATGCATGGTATAAATATCCAAATCTATTAAAGAATAACACAAATCCCTATTTAATGTTGATCATCATTTTGATTCAAATAGAATTTACCTTGATCAAGTCGGGGATATCGGCGGTGGTCTGCTCTTCCTCATCTTCCCTATCTTGATAATTTTGTACTCACTTGTTGGATTAGCGATGGTGTAATAGGTGAGTTGGATGCCAAACTGCAATGTCATTCTCTCAATTTGTGGGTAATTAGCATAAATGGTAACAAACCTTTGCACTTAGTACAAAACGGTCACAAATCTTTAATTTGTAACAATATGGTAACAAAACTTTGAAATTGTATAAAATGGTCACCGCTATTTAATTTGTGACCGTTTTGTTTTAAATGAAAAGGTTTGTTACCGAATCGTTACAAATTAAATGTTTGTCATGTTTTGAGGTTGGGTAGTTTGTTCGTTAAGTATATGACACTAACCACTTGAACAACATATAAGATGTCAGCTCATGTGTTCATCGACATATTTGCTTTGCCAAATAAGAATGCCCTCAGTTGACCTTTCAATTTCGATACTTAGCACATTTACTTATGATGCTTTGATTCTCTTATCATAAATCATGTCACAAAGATATATCACGTTCCATATAGAATCTTATGTCAAGATTTGTCAACCACGATGCTCAATTTTTTTTTATCTTATACAACATATGTCATTCAATGAATCTCGAGTTTGGACGATCTCTCAACCAATGATGTTGCTCAGATGACGACAACTTAGTTAGAATTTTTTTATAACGGTACTTCAATATTAGATAAATTTGGTCATCCCAATTGAAAGTTTATTGTCTTAGTGTAAGATCATATTTGTCGATCAAGAAACTCAATTTAATATCTTATACAATATGTACCAATTATTAATTCCTGAAGTTTAATTTAGGCTCACCCTCAAATCATGGTCGTTGTTTAGATGTTGGTTTAGAATCTCAGTCCAAGATATTCACACACTGTAGAGGGTTCTAATCTGAACATGGTCTATTGGTGTATGATTTTCTAACTTATCAAATATGCATTTACTAAAATTTATTTATCTTTGGTGTTTGTTTTGGGATAAAAATTTATTTATCTTTGGTGCTTACTAAACTTCCTTCATTATATTTTGTTTTCAAAAAAATATTATTACTTATTTGTGTGTTTAATTTATTGTTTATCAAAATATAACCTATATTAAGTTCTAATAAAAATAAAAAGAAAAATGAACTGATCATATTTAATCAAATATATTTTTTATAGGATTAAAATATATGTCACTCTCCCAATAAACATAAGTATATTGTTGCTACACCTATATATTGAAAAAACAATTATTGAATAAAAAAAGAAAACATCAAAAGAAGATAGAGATAGCTACATAAATGATCGTGAAAAGTGGTAATTGGGCCCAATCATACTAATAAAGTAATAATTGCCGGCAAAGTGAAAAGAAACCGGCCCACTTTTGGGCGGATTATGGAAACTAAAATGATCATATGGTACCATAGTGGTATGAACATACTAAAATTGTAGGATGGTTGAATACATGATAATAGAAATATACTAACTGTAATTTACGACTTTCAACATTGTGTACCACAAGATACCACCCCGTACTAGGGTGTTAATTTTTGGTCTTGTATTTTGTTCACCCGGTAATTTGTAGATGCAATAGATCATGATGACCTCGTTCCTTCTATGCAAAATTTTTCAAAAATGACTGAATAAAAAAGAAGAAGATACCATATGCAAATGGATCTCATTTTGTAGAGTACAACGAACTAGTTCCATCTGTGCAAAAAAAAAAAAATTTGAAATTCGAGTCAAAACGAAGAAGATATGAGCCGATTAAGAAAACTAGGGAAAATAAAAATGCCTTAAATTTTTCACTCTTTGATATGGATTTTCTGGGCAAACTGAAAAAGAAACATCCATATTTAGTTACTTATGGATGCATAAATCACGGTTATACACCTGGAGCCCAAAATATGAGTATTATTAACAAACAACATGTGATCCGACACAATTTTTGGTAAACCACAAACCACACTTCCATCACTACCCTAGTATATTTAGGGAATGGATCATGTCAATAACGATGCATAATTCAAGTGGAATATCATTTTGTAGAGCACAACGAACTTTATTCATCCGTGCACAAAAAAAATAATAATTGAAATCCGATTTAAAATGAAGAAGATAAAAGTCGATTAAGAAAACTAAAGAAAATAAAATGCATTTAATTTTCAACAATTATATATGAATTTTCTGGCCACTAAAAAGGGAAAGTTCAGACCTAGTTATGCAAGATTGCACCAATCACATTCAAAGATTTCAGCTACTACTAATTATGAGATTGTGAAAGTCTTCATCTCAAAAAGTTGTTGGGTGGTTGCCTCCATTTGTAGCATTTTCAACTCAAAAAGTTGTTGGATTATTGCCCAATCAAAAGTTATACACCCTATCCAGAGCAGTATATTTAGCAATTTGATTGGGTGGCCTCTGAAATTTATATTCCATACCAGAACCTAGTTTCTCAACAACAACAAAAAAAGAACCTGATTTTTTCCACTGTGCAAGAATACCCTAAATTTTCTCAACCCTGCAATGAAATTTATTCTATCCAAGAGCAGCTAGACAAGTAACAAAGGCTGGGGCTTTCGCCCCTACTCTCTGGTGCAAGAATACCCTAAATTTTCTCAACCCTGCAATGAAATTTATTCTATCCAAGAGCAGCTAGACAAGTAACAAAGGCTGGGGCTTTCGCCCCTACTCTCTGGCGCAGTCCATGCCTTGACTGAAACAGTTGGTGGATATTGTTGTGAGAGAAGAACAAACACGAACATGAAATCGAAAATTCAAAGGTTCACAGTAGAAAGCACTCTGCCGAGACACAGCACATGTTCCAATCGATCCAGACAATACATAATTTCATTAGGAACACATTCGAAAAGAATGATCCAAAGTTTTCAATCTCTCCTGATTAATAATGCTTCCAACGCTTCCAGTTGCAGAAACCAAACCACCAAACAAGAAGTAGCGAGAAGCGAGATATCATCAACGATGCAAAGGGAGTCGGGCATTCTTGTCAGCTGCTAACTTAGCGGGATTTTGTTTTGGTCTTTTTCTGGTCTGCAACGTTCACGGCCACACAAATCTTCCTCCAACAGCGCAAGGCTATCAACGAGGGTATGACAACCCAAGATGCATTGGCACCAATGTAGTAGGCATAGTAATAATGCGGACTGGCAGCAAAGTTATCGCCCTCTAGATATGCAGTAATGAAATACACGGCAGTTCCATAGAGCTGTCCCAGGGAGATAGCAAACTGAAGAATGTAGCTGTATGACTTTCTTGTAGCAATAGCATATCTGCACATGGCAAAGTGCAGGGAAAAGGAAGTTAGGATAAAAAGAATAGAGTGGAGAGACCTATAATTCTATTCAGAGTTTTTGAAGGAGAAGTGCAGTGCGCGGCCAGCCATACAAAGCTAAAAGGCAGGCGGGCCCCTCGAAGACTGCTGTCAATCCTTCAACAGAAACTACTCCAGAATCTCTTGCTGCATATCTTGAATCACCTTTGCTGTATTCTTTCCCTGTAAGATTTTCCAAACTGGATTATTGTTTGTGGAAACATAGCACAGGACTCCAGCAAAGTCATACCAATTCCCGACAAGCACTGTTGGCCAATTGAACATAAGTAGAATACTCACAAACTTCAGCAAGGAAGAACCCAGATTTGTCCTTGTAAAATTCCGGTGCAAAAGCAAAATATCCTTCGAGAATCAAGTGTGTGAGACCAGTGAAAGCCCACCAGCAAAGAAGAAGCCTGTCAAGTTTAGCTATTTTCCGGGAGAAGCCTGTTTCGAAAAGAAGAAAATCAGTTGGACCTGAAGAAACCATAAGGGACGGAAACTAGTAGTGGGGTAGGCTAAGAACACAGCTGCATCTGAAGTTTAGGGTTTGTGAAGTGGGAGAAAGGGGAATGTTGCTCTCTGAAGCATTTGCCTATGTGTATGGCAGACAACCAAAATCCAAGAAGCCAACACGGTAGAGGAAAAAGAGACCCCAAAGGCAATCTAAGTGATTGGACAAATGCTCAATCAAACCATCAATTAAGCGTGAACTGAGGGGCGAGCAGTGACAATGTAGGCGACAAGGATCTATTTACAGTAATGATATCGAACGATTTACAGCATGCAGAAGGATTGAAAAGGAAGGAGGTTAGAGATTGAAAGCAAACCAGAAGAGACCCAAACAGTTGAAAGGACAACAAGAGAGGCAACCCCGTAAATGCAGAGGATGGCGGATTGAGAGAGAAATGGAGGCACATAATCGGGGAGTAGCAGATCTGTGGGCACATAAGGATGTGGATTTCCTGTTTCTTCCATTATGAATATCAAGGACCTCCACACACAACTCCTGGCCTCTCAACCTAATAACAAGAGGGAAAAAGAACACATCTTGGAGTCAAGACCTCAAACTACAACACACCATAAGAAAATCATAATGCATTGATGTTTCATCCACTGTAAAATCCAGAGCAAGTTCAACCCAAATCTGGTTGGTTTTCTCTCCTGCTGTGAGCAATCAAACTTAAGGACAAAACCAATAATCAGGTGGTTGGAGTTGTCAACCTCGTCATATGAATAAAAAAGGATGCAAGAGGAAATCCTGCCTTGAAGTGATCATAACAAAAGAAAGAACGCATCTCGCTCTTTATTATTGTTAGATCATAGAAAAGTGTACAATGCTCCGATTTCCACATTAGCATCCTTTTTATTACTTGGTCACTTGGCACATCAATGGCAAGTAAGTCTGATTTGGTGCCAAGATAAATAACTTGCCCAGAAAGAACCACCAAAGTCTGGTGGCAAGTTCCAGATTTGTGTGAAAATGAAGAACTTAGAAAATGGACAAGATGGATTAGGTTCCAGATTGTCATGCCATGAGAGAAAATTGAGAATGGGGAAAACAAATTAAATCCTCACACAGCATACCAAGACACAAAGCACAAGCGCCACTAACCTCGAAGTTCCCGCTCGGTAATGCCGCTCTGCGTTCTATCTGCAGCAGTCCCTTCCTGATCGTTTCTCTGTAAGATTTCAAAATCCCTAGTTAATTTTGGGAATGTAGTCACATCGATCAATGCCGTGCGGTAAAGAAAAGAACAAAGAAGAAACAAATCAAGGAATCTTCTACCTTGCTCGCTCGCTCACCAACAAGAAAAGAAGTAGAGAAGCGCTGCCTGCCCTGATTCAATCCAAGATTTTGGCCTCGGAGTTCTGAAAACTGTTGTTGGAAGTCTACGGCGCTCCCTCTCTGCCCTCTGCTGCTCAATGGAAAGTGGCGAAGTCCACAACAACGAAAGCTGCTGATGCGGAAGTGGGAGGTCAATGTGCTAGGGAGTAGGCGGAGATAGCATTGGTATGTGTGCCAGCGACCAAGGGCTATTAGACTGAAAATACATATTTAACCCTAATCCAAATTACCATCGCCCTATTATTATCAAAAAACAATACCATCGCCCTAAATCAACGTGACCTTTGCTCTACTCCGACTCGTCGCCGCCGCCGCCGCCTTTGCTACTGCGCCGACGAAGAAGAAAATAAAGAATTTGTTCTGCCTCGCCCACTACCGCCGCTAACCTCCGTGCACCCGTCGCCGCCAGGAAGGTCTGCCGCTGCGCCGCTCTGCTAACGAAGAAGCAAGGAAACGATCCCGCCCCGCCGGCCACCTCTGATGCCTGGTTTTATCTCGCCGGCCACCTCTGGTTCTACTCCGTCCACTGACTCCGTCGCCGGCGACGGGATTTCAACCCGCCTGACGAGTAGTACCCAGCAAAAATAAAATAAGGCGGCTATTCTCCTCTATTTCCTTTTTTCGACGGAGCTGGGCGGCGGGAAATTAAAGTAGGTGGTGAGGCATGGGTGGGCGGGAGGTCTATAGCAGCCATCGTTCTTCCTCCTTGCCTTGTCTTTCGTTCTTCTCGCCTCGGTTTGCTAGTTCGGTGCCGACAAATCAGAATTAGAGGTCGATCGGTGGGCTTAGTCAAGAGCAGCGCGACGGTCGGCAAGTTAGGGCGGCGGTGGATTTTTTGGCAAGGAAGAAAGAGGGGGAATGGAATAGACCACGTCAATTTTGGGCAGGTAATTTTAGCTTGGTTTTTATGTTGAGGGACTAAATAGTCTATTCAGTACAAGTACAAATTAGGGCGATAAATTTAAATTGTTAGAGCGTCAAATAGGGATGGCAATGGGTCGGGTTGGGGCGGGTTTTGTCAAACCCGAACCCAAACCCATGGGTTTATCCGTCAAAAAAATCCGGGATAAAACCCATTGGGTTTGAAAAACTCAAACCCAACCCAATCCGCTGGGTATCCGCGGGTTCATGGGTACCCGTGGGTTTTTCTAGTAAAAAATTTACAATAACAAATTTCCTTCAAAATAAAAGTTTAACATCAATTTTCTCATACAAATTAATCATACAAAAAACACCAATCTAGAGCATACAAGCAAACCGCAAATGATCAATACAAATTGTTCAAAATTAAAGATAAACATCTATAAACAATAAGATTAATTGAAAGCTTCTTCCTCGTCAACTAAGTTTCTTCACTCTTCCCTTCATAATATCAACTTCATTCTAAACAATTAGAAAGAACAAATTATACATGTCTCTACAAACATAAAGAATATTAGTTGTTTAAGGAAGATATATTATTTATAATATTAAATATACCGGGAAAGTAATTATATGTGTGTGGGCGGGTACCCATGGGGCGGGTTTACCTAAACCCAAACCCAACCCGACCCGGTGAATAGTGTAGCGGGTTTAAACCCGAACCCGGCCCAAAACCCGTCAACACTGGTTTTACCCACGTTGACCGGGTTGGGTCGGGTGGGTACCCGTGGGTTCGGGTTTTGTTGCCATCCCTAGCGTCAAATAGAAATCCAGTGAAAGAAGGTTGTCAACCCAATTTAGTAGGGCTCGCTATTTGGTCCAGATTTCATGTTTAACCCGAAATCGAATCGTATAACCCAGATTGTTTTGAGAGCGGAATCGGATGTAAAATAATTCAATCATGTTTTTGGTTTCAAAAATAGCAAAAAAACTCGGATCAATCCGGTCCGGATTAAAATCGAAAAACCAGATAACAGACCTTGTAAGCTAATCCTACCTAGAGCTCACCAGCCACCACACCCAAGCCCAGCCTTCCCCTCTCTGGCCCATTCTCTCAGCCCGAGCCGACACCTGCCGCCCCTTATGCTTTGGAGGCAGCAAGGAAAGCAACTTCCCTCAATATCCCTAATTCCCTTCACTTCACGATCGTGAGAAGCCAAGCACCATGACCCGCAGCTTTGCAAATCTGACGTCTGCTTCACGCCTTCGCAATTCCGGTCCCCGCTCCACGCCTCTGCTCCAGCGATCGTCGACTAGCGAACCAATCCTCCTCCTCTCCGCAAGACCGTGACACCGACTCCGCCCCAAGTGCGATCGCCTACCAGCATAAGAGACGCTTCCTCTTCTTTCTCTGCCGCTTAACTCTTCTCTCCTTTGGCTCGACGATGAGGACTCTGGTGGCAGCGGCGAGGGTTTGATTGACTTTGGGTGGAAATTCTGTCTCCTCCAACGAAATTGAAGTGAGTCAGGAAGAAGACGAGTGATTCTCAACGGCTAACTGCAGAAAGCGGTAGCTTGAAGAAGAAACGAACCACGTTTCTGCCTTCCCCTCCATCTGATGTTTCAATGAATGCTAAAGCGATGTCGTGGTGGTATTCAGTGTAACGTCAGGTGGAGTTATGAAGGCCAATCAAACGAAGACAAGTGGCACGGTTTATTTACTGCTTTTTGAATTTCTGTTTTAACGGATTGTTTCCATTTTCACTATTCTCTAACTTTACCTTTCACTTTGGTATAAATACAGAATAGCAGAGGAGAATCACTCCTTGCGGGTTTTCCCACTTTGTACCGCCTCCATCTTCTTCTTCTCTTTACAAACCCTAAGCTCATTGAGCTTTTTCACATGGTATCAGAGCTGGAACAGATCCAGTGATTTACAATGTCGAATACCCCTCGCCCAGGTACTCCTGGTGGTACTCCGCTCAATGCTGGAGCTATTCCCTTTGTTCGACGCTCAGTGTAGTGGAGGCAACAACAACACCACCACGACCAACAACAACAACAACAATAATGGACGAGCGAATCTTCAATTTGGTAACCCCTTTTACATAAACCCAAATGAGAACATCTCGCAGTCGATTGTTTCTGAAAATCTGGATGGTTAAAACTACGAAATATGGCAACGATCAATTCGTATGGCATGACTAAAAACAAGATAGGATTCATTGATGGTACGATTGTTATGCCAACTACTGGAGATCCCAATTTTGGTTTGTGGGATGCTTCGAATACTTTGGTTTTATGTTGGATTCTTAACTCAATTGAAAATGAAATTAGGAGAAGCGTTATGCAGCATGAGAATGCCCAGGTTCTCTTGGAGGAACTGAAAAGGAGGTTTGGGCTCCCAAATGCCATTAAGTTGGCTAACCTATAGGATCAGATCATTGTTGATAAGCAAGGGTCCTTGAACATCACACAGTATTACACAACATTCAAGGGTTTATGGGAGGAGAATTTGCAGTTCAACCCCATCGTCGAGTGTGATTGTGTACGTAGCACAACACACTCGACCCTGTGCAGTTGTGGAAGCTTTCTAGCAGAAGCAGGAAATGGAGTATCTCATCCGCTTTCTGAAAGGGTTAAGACCTGAATATGAGATTGTGCACACACAATTGCTGATGATGAAGCCACTTCCTACAGTGGATAGTGAAGTTAATGGCTTACCGCAGCATGAACAAAAGATCAAGGGTGACAAGGCTGGAGTGACAAAGGGAGTTCAAACTGTAGCACTTGCTGTTTCAGGGAATTCGAGTAATCAGCAGAAGGGTATGGATACCTCAGTTGGGAAGAAGTTTTGCAGATACTGCAAGAAAGAAAATCATACCATTGATGAGTGCTACAGTCTAAAACGAAAGAAGGCTAGGATGGCAGGAGGGAACATGGTTGCAGTTATTTCTCAAAGTGACTCTTCTACTGATAGTGACTCTGCCAGTTCAAATACTAAACTCAGCATTGACACCAGAACTCCTAGGGGCAGCTTTGGGTTATCATCTGAAGAGTTAAATAAGCTGAAGTTCCTCCTGAATTCAGTCTCATCCTCACCAAGTCCATCTCCACCAGCGTCTCCCTCCATTAATCATCATGCTTTCTCAGTTGCTCAGCACATTCCTCATTTTCCCAACTATGCTGGTAAATACATTCTCTCTTCTTATTTTCCGCAACATTCTAATGGGTTGCTTGGTATATGAATATTCGACACTGGTGCCTCTGACCATATAGCATGCAGCATTGAGTCATTCTTTGAATCCACCCTAGTTGAGAACCAGTTTGTGTATTTGCCTAATGGCACTAAGGTTGCTGTGAGTCATATAGGTAGAGTTAAACTGCCTTCAGGACTAGTACTTGACAATGTCCTCCTAGTGCCCAGTTTTTCATTTAACCTTGTTTCTGTGAGTAAGCTTACAAATGACTTACCAATCTCCTTACACTTTGAATCTGACTCTTGCCAAATTAAGGACCTAATGACCCTCAACAGGACTGGTTTGGCAAAGCAGATTAGAGGCCTCTACCAACTAAACTTCAAGACTTCCCCACCTTCTTCATTACTTCAAACACAACCTTAGGCATCAACCATCTACAATTTCTCTCCTCAAAACATTGAACTGTGGCACTGGAGACTTGGACATCTTCATAGAGAAAAGGAAAGACTATTAGTACCATGTAATAGGATTTCCAGTTTACAATGTGAAACTTGTCATTTTGCCAAACATAAAAGGCTTCCTTTCCCTGTCAGTTCTTCCCATGCACAGGATGCTTTTTCCCTTATTCATGTGGACATCTGGGGTCCACTAGCTGTTAAATCTCATGATGGTTACTCCTATTTCCTAACAATTTTTTATGATTACTCAAGAGGTGTTTGGACCTACTTAATGAAGTTCAAGTCAGAAGCTAGCAAACTATTAGAGTCATTCTGTGTAATGGTGTCTAAGCAGTTTTCAAAACATGTCAAGGTTGTTAGAAGTGATTAGGGAAGTGAGTTTCATATGACAGAATTTTATACTGCTAATGGGATTGAGCATCAGTTATCTTGTGTTGAGACCCCTGAACAGAATGCCAGGGTAAGGAAACATCAGCATATCCTGAATGTTGCCAGATCTTTAAGGTTCCAATAAGGAGTTCCCCTTCAATTCTGGAGTGATTGTGTGTTGCATGCTGTTTATCTCATTAACAGAATCCCCACTTATGCCCTTAACAACACTTCACCTTATGAGCTTCTCTATCACAAACCACCTAGTCTCTCTGGCTTAAAGGTTTTTGGCTGTTTGTGCTATGCTACTACCTTGCACAGGGATAGGACCAAGTTTGATTCAC